TTATAACATCGACTGAGATAAATAATAAAATGAAATATTAAAATCATGATGTATCTCGCTGCATTGCGCGAGTACGCTTCTAGTAGGTTCTAATAATAACATGTGACTAGACAAGAACTTTTGTCCCATAATAGAGGTTTTTATAAAAACTCCAAGAGAAACCTTAACAGAAACCTCCATTGTGGATAGCTTTAACCCTTTTCTAGACGGTTTAATGTCCATTGTTTGATTAGTATTAATATGGGAGTTACAAAGGACCAACACTTTAATGTAGGTTTACAAATTAAAACCCCCAAGAGTTTGCCCCCATATAAATTAACAATCTTGAAACATTTGATAGATATATATATATATATATATATATATATATATATATATATATATATATATATATATTTCCATAGTCTTGTAATCAATTACCAGAAATCACAAACCATGGCATCCGTCAAGCTATATATTGCTCTTCTTTTTATATTCACAATTGCTGGTATTCTTTATATATATTTTTTGCTTAAATATACCCCCATGCTTGTATCTTCTATCAATATGACATGAGCAATCACGAACAAAAACTTTTAGTCTTAAGAAATGATGAAAATTGTTCATAAGATTGTAGTATTTGGTGGGAGATTTGTTTGTTTGTGCTTTTTGATAGATTTATTAATAGTTTATATGTACATGTATCTTATTCAGGGACCGAGATGATGGTTGGTGAAGCATGCGTTGAGACATGGGAGATAAATAATTGTTCTGAACCAGATTGTGTTCAGACGTGCAAGATTAGACATGGGTCTTTTGCCGAAGGCCGATGCTTGTTGGTTGATACTTGTCAATGCACTTATAACTGTTAAGATATTTCGACTTTTATATAAGCTAGTTTAAATAAAGCAGTTATGGTGTATGAACGTGTTATTACCGTCCCTTGAACGAATCATATCAATCGAAAATTTTAATTACTTAGAACATTATGGTTGTGGAAGTCAAGTATCATGCATTAAAATTTCATAGTTTTAATGTTTGAACCAGCTATAACGAAAATGAGCAAAAGTCAATTAATCATGAGTCAATATGATTTTTTTCATAACATAAATGAAGAGAACTACAATAAAATATAGAAAAGTAATATGTAATTCTCATAAATTATAAGCACATTAAATAAAGACGGGTTACAATTAAATAACCATGAGACTGTAAGAATATTTTAAATAAGGACGAGTTATAGCATCATTTGTAATATAACTCTAATATGTTTATCTTTATCTCTGTCTTCATATGTTTTGACGATGACGTACTTATCCATCAATTTTTAAGATTAATTTAAAAATTGCCTTCAAATTCCCCCAACTCCCATGAATCAAGGATGCACTGATAAAATGGATTTCCATCAGAATATCACATACACTTGTAATTAATCTGACAAATTTATTTGGTCTTTTGAGTTCGAAACTGTACAAATGAAATAATAGTA